ATATCCTGCGAGCTACTAGGTCTAGCATTGATATAGACCCTTGGTAGGACTATGTAATTTGTTATTGGATAAAGTTTCCAAATTTAGGATACAGGAGTAAGGGTTACAAACGGAAAAACGAACTGATTTATTGCCCTAACTCTAGGTACTTGGCGTATATGATGGCCAAGCATCAAGGTACTATCATGTTTTACCTGGGGTACAGTATCGGCAATATGGTATTTTCTGATGAGTAATATGGTAAGATCGGATTAACGCGTTAAACACTACGCCGGTTCCTAAGGATCGGCCCTAGATTTTCCATTCAGATCTCACGGGGCCCTAGGACCCGCATAACAGCTAACTGTGGCGTGAACGAAACGGCGTAGGGTTTAACGTGTTAATAAATCAAAAGAAATTTTGAATTCTGATTATATTTTCTTGATGGTATAAAATAAACGGAGGCTCGAGGTCCTCTATAATGCCAAAAAGTGTCCCTTCGACCCTTTCGGCCAGGTCTTTATAGACTCTGTGACACCCAACCTAGCTTCAAGGAAAATTAATAAGCTGTATGGTTCCTCGAAGCAAAGATAGATCCCGATGCAAGGTGATGTCATCTAAATAAAGATTCCTCTCATGGTAATAATACCGTCGAAATGGTATTTCAACGATATTTCACCTTTTAGAAGCAATTATTATACGTCCCAGTATCGATAATACTTTGTTACAGAAAATGAATTCATCGATGGAATCCACCATAGTAGCCTAGAGCACCGGATTCGGTCATCCACCCTCGAAGCAATAGTCCCGCGCGGGTTGTTTCTCGATCTACATATTTAGCGAATGTTATAGCAAGTGTCAAAGTGTCGGTAACTGCAGATCGTAAGCGGCTCGTCGCTAGAGCCATTAATTACTCCGGCTAATTCCGCGAATTGGTCATTAAGGATCAGCTGTTCCGCACTTAATGTCAAGCTAACCGCGCAGTCCACTTCGTCCCTGATCCAACGATAGTCAGTGCTCCTTGGTACGACGCGGGACGCTGTAATTGGTTTGTTGGAGCTTAACTAACTACCGGATAAAGTCGAACGAACCGACCGGCCGTTTAAGCACGGATTATCCAGAACGAGGTGAACAATATTTACTGCTAATTGCCGGGCTTTAGATTCCCGATTTATTTCAGCGATAAGAAAATCTGGCCAACACGCAGCTGCCTATGGGATCCTATTCCTTTTTTTCCTCCCAACTTTCGCCTTTCTTATCTGATTTTCACACTACCTGTTTCTATTTCTCTCTCTTTTTCTCTTTCTCTCTTTTTCTTCGGTTTCGATGCTCATTGGACGCTTATAATTCAAAGTGCCCCGGGCTTTCCACGCATCGCTGTTTTTTAAAGTATCTTCACATAAGGAGAATCGTCAATGTGCCTTCGGACATACTTTCAACGATATAGTTAGTTTCCATACATATTCGCTTTGGAGATTCGAGTGGCTTTTAAGTAACGAAAGAATACAGAGAATATTAACTTACTCTCGAAATATGCAATCAAAACGTTCTCTTTTCCCTTAGAAATCTTTTCAAACGAATTCAAGATGACACGAAAGAGGAAAGTGGTTTAAAGTATCTTATTTTCTACGTACGAGGGGAAACGCGCCTTTAACGTACCTTTCAGGAAGCGTAGCGACTAATTATTCTTTTGGTTGTTAAACATACAGAGGTAAACGCAGACAAAGATGTCCGAACAATGCTTGTTTATTTTACAGCGATTATGTACCCCGGAATGTACGAAAACCGCGTACGAAAGCCTCTTATGTATTCAGCAAACATCGTTCTATTTCGCTTTAATAATATGAAATTCTTCTGCCTGTTTCTCTGCTCCTTAAGTTTCCTCTCCCGCCACGGAGCTCGACTTATTCCGCAATTATACTCCGTTGCCCTTTGGAATTTTCGTCCGTCATAAGAACGCTACGTAACACGCGTCGCGCTCTGCTCCTTAAGTTTCCTCTCCCGCCACGGAGCTCGACTTATTCCGCAATTATACTCCGTTGCCATTTGGAATATTCGTCCGTCATAAGAACGCTACGTAACACGCGTCGCGCGAGAGAGAGATTTAATCTCGCGAATGAGATTCGAATATCGGCCTAGCAGAGGAGGTGCATTAAACAGGAATATCCTGCGAGCTTGGGCTTCTTTTTGCCAAGAAAAAATTAGCTTATTCGAACGCGCTCGCGCCGAGGAAACGAAACTGCCGTTGATCTAGCAATTAACTCACCTGGAATTCTGCCAACTATTTATATCGCGCTATTATCATACGTTCTAGACTAGGCTCGAATAGCCACAGCTATCCGTGCACTTTAGATATTGCTGCTCTAATTTTATCTAATATTACTACCTATAAAATACGCGAATTTTATCGTAGTAAGCTAATAGCCGCACGTCTGTTTGTCTAATGCGTATATTGTCGCAGGTAGTTACGAAGAGGATTGATATTTTGTTTTAAATTGTACTGGGAATTAAAATCCGTCATAGGTACAAACTTTATTCAGACTTTTAATCGTTGTACTAGTACCTTTCTTTAACCCCTTGTCCTACGATTTAAGATTAAGATCAAGAAGATAAGTGGTCCTAAAATGTAAACAGAACTGTCTAGCCTTCGAGTCATTCCAGGCCTCGGAAAATCTATCTTAAGTTATACCAATCGCACACAACTTACATAGGGTGTCGTATCTATAAGAAAAATGTAATTCAGGAAAAGTTAATTTAACAAATTACAGAAATACAAGTGAAAAATTAAAAACAAGCAATAAAGGATAATAAATGAAGTGGGGCACATCAACAAATCAAGGGTGTGACACGTGGTGTTCACATTTGGCCCGACCGATATACCACGAGCCAGCCCCGTGATAGTCAGTTTTGACCCGACCGATGTACCACGAGCCAGACTCGTGATAATCAGTTTTGCCTCGAAAACCTGACCACGAGTCTCACACGTGGTTGCAGACCAAAGGGTTAAATGTTTACACTCTTGTGGCTCAAAAGTGACTGAGGCTGGCATCGTTGCGTCGAATTTACTTGCATTTTCCTATAAATCTGGTAGAACGAGTGATTACTCTTTGAATATTTCAAGATGTAAGGGGTAGTTCGAAGACGACTACTCAAAGTCTCGAATCACATGATCACACGATTCTGCATTACACGTGTCAAGCATAGAGTTGCCATGAACCTAGGATCTTCTCTCTGGTATCTGAAAACCGCGATGATGCCACGGGACGATAATGGTTTTATAAAAAATAAAACCAGAAAAGCCAGAAAACTATTGGTTTCTTGGAACGTATTGAAAAGGTTGAAGTTTAACGCTGGATGTCTGATAACCTGAATGATTCGCTTTATTGGGGTTACGTAGGTTTATATACAATTCAGAATAGGGACCTATTAGGGTGACCTATAGCACGTATTGCTTAGTTGGTTAGTGATGACTAACAAGGAAAGTGCAAGTCTTTTGGGTCATGGATTTACTTTAAACTTTGCAGTTTTGTAGATTTAGTCATCCAATTCAAGAAAACATTCCATTATAAGGGCAACTACTTAACAGTTTTTAAGATATTTATGCTTAAAGCATTATTATTCTTAACTACCCATTTCTACCGAATAGTTATCGATATTTATCAAATGCCGTTATGGCCTAACGACGATATTCGAAAATTTCTACGCTGATGGCCAGGGGTTCGATCTCCCGACTATAATTAATAATTCTTTTTCCATTTATTTTTCGTTTTGTATTAATTTTTCACCCACGAAGACATATAATTTTAAATATATTATAAATTAATTTAGATAAATTATAAATTAAGTAACAAGATGCAGCTGTCAGAGCTCCTTCTGGAGACAAGACTGTTATCGCAGCGTCACAATGACAAGTGAGCCTGGACCACAAGGCCTGGAACGCGAGGTAGTCAGCCTGATCAGAGAGAAGGGACGCATAGTACAAAAGGACATGACGAGGGTGCATTTAGGGTTTTTCGAGGCGCGCCGATTCCTTTGACAAGATTTGGGAAGCCATAGTTAGGGTCAGCCAGACTTTTTTCGACCTTTTAATCTTTTCATATTTCGTCCTACAGCTTATACATGGATTTCCTATTTGCTATAACGGAGACTGCGATGTATGTGATCGAATTTCTTTTGAAGTCTTCTGTATTTTATATAGCGATACTCTGTCTGTGACTGCGTTGCAAATTATTTCGTTTAATCGCTGTTCAAAATCCTCTATTACTGATTTTGAATAATTTTTATTTGCGTAACGAGAAATCCGTCGATTAAAGAATGTTAAGGTTTCATTTCTATTTAGATCGCACAGGATTTCGTGAAAATTTATTTTAGACCAAATACTCCTCTGTGTAACGTAGCTGTTATATTCATACAAACAGGAGTATGAATATAAAGTAGAGTCTATAAATATGAAATAGAACGTATGAGAAATAAATTTCCAACTTCTTTATTGCTGCTGAAGGCTGCTACTGGTGAACCTAAGCAAAGGGAATTACAAAATTAGACGATTTTCATTGTCTTCAGCCACATTTTCTATATTAATTTCACGAGTGCCAAAAAAGTGTCATTTATATAATATAAATATAATATAATGTAGGAAAGGAACAAATACGGTTTTGAAAGAATGTCTATAGTGTTTGGGCTTAGAAGTAAAGTGATCGCATGCAAGAGGATCGAATGTAAGGGATGTTTATGATAGAACCGAATGCAAGTGAAGAGTGAAAGCCTAGGAATGCGTCTGAGTGTTTAGGATACGTGATCCACCGAATGAAAAAGAGAAAATGAGTATAAAAGAAGACAGAGTGCAAGGTTTAAATAAGAGTACAAGGACGCGGAAGAGGCAGTGCGTGTTTTAGAGTCAGTCATAGGGTTTTTGAGAGATAGCGAGTGAGAGTCAGCTGAGAGTTATTAGCGCTTAGAATAGGTTTTAGCTTATAATAAATCATTTTTATATTTACATCACTGCTTATTCTATCGCCTATTCAACATTCCTACAATAGTGTAATAAAAATAAGTAAATATATTATATTATTTTATTATTATTCACTTTGCAGTATAACATAGTATAACAATATCAACTTCGTGAAAAGAGTCTACACATTTTCAATAACTGCAAAACCCAAAAATTCTGAATAAATCAGGCATAGAGTGAGTCATAGACTGTTTTAGCGTCAGTCATAGACTGTCATAGATTGTTTTAGCATAGTCATAGAATTTTTTGAGAGATAGCGAGTGAGAGTCAGCTTTTGATAGTCTTAGAATAAGTTTTAGTTTAGAATAAATTATTTTTATATTTATATTTCTGCTTACTCTGTTGTCTACCCAACGTTTCTACAATAATGTATTTATATAATATAATAGAGAATATGAAGATACTTAAATGAACTCGTTGAATTTACATTGGACTTTATTTTGATATAAAAACTGTTCAAGGAAAGAAATTGGTGGAAGAATTACGTACCTGGAATTCTGGCGAAAGAGCATGATTCGATGTTTGATTCTCGAGCACTTGGAAAGTCTCGTCGGATAATCGCCTGAATATTTGGGGGTCCATGATAAGCCTCACGTTGACAGTGCTTTTCCACCACCTGTACCAAGGCGACAACTGGTTCTGACGAAAAGAAAATTTAGTTGACCGGTATGGTAAAGGATTACACGTATATTGGCTGCCGTTCTTTTCAGGCCGGTTTAAATTATCTAGATAGTTTCAGTTGTCACGAACAAAAGACACTCTATTCGATAAATTAGACCGGAGTGGCTTCCAAGTGGCCAGGTTTCGAGCTCGCCTGATCGAAACCAGAGAGAAACTGATTCCGGGCTGTCACGTATTCACGATAATTCTTAATTAAACGTGCACCGCCTGGATTTCGATTCGACTACTCGACGGGAATTGAATTTATGCAGGTAGGAACATGGTTTTGCTTGAAATTCTTGTCCCGTGCCTGTTGAGATATTCGCTTCGAGGATATGATTTACCCTTCTTCGAAATCACTCGTGTCGTAATTTATTATTTTAAACGTTCGTGTTCGCGATATGGGGGTCAAATAGCTTCAACATTTTGACTGCCATGCATTTTTATGTGGTATACCCCTGTGGGCCATTATAAAATTTCCATTATTCTTAGGATACAATGACGAATTACCAAACAATATAGTAAAAAGAAAAATGGTGCAAATTATTAATGTCTTCTATCCAAAGTTCTCTATTTATGTACGATGTTCAAATTTTCAAAAATTGGTTGGAATAAAACAAGTAGAAATTAAAAAATTAGTATAGCCAGACCACCGGGGCCCCACTGACAAGCACCGTGAGGAGACAAGCACCGGTCACTGATGACCATCATAACAGTGAACGTGTTAACTAGCATCTTCGTTTTAACCACTTGCGGTGGCAAGAAATTCCAGGACGCGTGTGCCAGAACGGTGCAGTGTTTCTGTAACAATTGCCTAACGACGTGTATACCACGTCGTTGGCGATTCTATGACAAAAGCATTACGACGTGCGTGACACGTCTTTCCAGCGCAAGCGGTTAATCGTATATCGTATAGTTGCCAAGAAAATAATATACCGTGGAGTACTTCGGACGAAGTTTAACTTTTCTAAAACGTCAGGGTCCTAGAATATAAGAAGCTCTAATCTCTATTAAAGTATCGTATATTACCTTGATTTATTTCAAGGTTGTGAGAATATTTAGCTTTTAGGTTGATGTGAATGAGACGTGATGTGGGGTGACGAGTGAATGCGGATGGATGGCAAAACTGAAACAAAAGAAGCAGGAGTTATGTGAGCATGTCCTACCGAGGTATGGGTGAACGTTCTTTCTGTGCGACAATGCGTAATGTATAGCAATCTTGTAGTGTAGCTGGAATATTTGTTAACCCCTTGACTACGGCAGATTTTGATACGCAATGGCCATACCATACGGTAGGAATTGAGTTACGATGTGCGCCATTTTTGTGAAAACAAGCGCCATCCGTGTCAGAAAGCTAAACTACGTCGAGCGTCTATAGGCGCTCTCCGTGTCACAAACGTAAAACTTCTAAGCGCCTATAGGCGCCCACAGTAGCCAAGGGGTTAAAATGGATATTAGTAATAAATAGTGTAGGATATTTTTAACCATTATTAGGGTACGAAGGTTTAGAGGACTTAGGGGAGGCTGCTAGATGGGTTATAGAAGGTAGGGGCCAGGCCACGTGAGGTGATCCCCGCGAGGGTGACCCTTTAGAGAGCCTAACGCGGAAGGAGGAGTCTCTTCTACCCCTGAGCATTGCGTGGAGGGGGTTTTTTCCTCCTTCAAGGGAGACCCTTGCCTTCCAGATGGGCCCGTTCTGGAAGATAGAGTTTAGTTCGTTTTGAGTTGTTTTTAGTTCGCGAAGAGTTGTGCAGTTCGTTAAGAGTTATTAATTGCAGTCTTCAGGAGTTAGAGTTGGGATTAAGTCAAATCCAGTCCCTAGTCTGTGGAAATTTGGAAGCCGAGGTACTCTCCAGCATAATAGAGACTGTGTGACTCTACAATAGCTAATAACGTCGAGTGATCATTCACCAACACAATGGTGTAACTTTTTCCGTCACATCAACGACACACGCAAAATTTCTCACGCTCGTCTACGTAATCCCGAAAATACATATACATTTTTAGGTATTTCGTAATTTATCGAATATCGGTCTTTAATATCAGAGAACATTGGATCTAAGCCACGTAATGTCGAGCATAAAGCGACAGCGGAACCTACGCTGCTCCTTTTTTATAGCTTTTGTCAACCATAAGCAAGTTATAAAGGATAAAAGAAATTTCTAGCGATCCATGGATAGAACCACCTCCTTGCTTTTCAATATCATGCTCCTCTTTTTACAATTTAACTTGCCACAGTTTCCTCTTCCCTTTTTCGTCTCTTATTCTCTTCGTTACTTTGTCGTGCTTCCAGACGAGACGATTTTATAACAGCTTTGCCATGCAATAGTGGTCGAGGGCTTGGACAAGACCAGGCAAGAAACATAATCAGAAACTGACGTGTAATTTTTTGCCTGAAAACGCTCGGGATCCTTACACGATGCGACAAAATTATTTTCCCTGGATTTAGATTCTCGCGCAGTTATCAAAGACTCATTTGCGTCGTACGAATTTAATTAGCGTTATTTACGTATACGAATCCGGCGCTTTAATGGGAATCGCAGTTTCCAGTATAGGTATTAAAATTGCGAGGCTAGGTTGACACGCTTCGTTTATCGATTGACATTAATTCAAAAGCAACTTAGCATATTCTGAAGCATCCTTCGTTATTGGACTTTTGAACCTGATTTTCAGCACTTGATGCATCAACGTTGTTTAAATTTGTTAAGCCCCGGTAAAAGCAGTCTACTATGGCAATTTACAATCCACTGTGATTTCAGGAAATTTGATCACATTTTTAGATGTATCGTATCCTTTGTGCTTCAAATTTGATATTGTCGAAACTGTCATTTCATTATTTCTCAGTGATCTTATTTTTACGTTACGCTAAAGGAGAAAAATTTCTGTTCCCATTCGTTCAATTACAATTAAAGTTCATAAAGAACTTTGACATTACAAGCAGTGAACGATGCGTGCAGACGATCGGTAGAGTAAAGAGACATTATTCTTGTCGACACATAATTAAAAGTTCGTAATGAACATTCGTGGTACAGCTACATCGAGAAGCCTCCAAATTTCCAGCAAACTCCTGAATACGCGTCGTTCTCTAGCCCAATTAACTTATAATGTCTCATTCTTCGAGTTTCGCCACGAATATTCCACGGAATTTCAACCTTTTCGTTACTCACGATCACTACGCTCACCCGACATCTCACGCTCGCTGCTACGCTAAGGCACCAAACGCTAGTTGCAGATTTCCTATCGATTGGTAACTTCGGTAGAGCAAAATACGACCGTGTCGGAATTGTCCCGGTAGTGCATCGGAGGTCGGCGTATCGAAATTGTGGGAAAAGAAAAATAAAGAAAAAAGAGAGAAAATGGGGCAAAAACACGAAGCCATTTTCATACGTATCGCGATATCATATTTTTCCCTAGCACACTGAAACTTGCTGAAATTTCACTGCGCCGAATAAATTCTCTCTCATTTTCCTCGCCATTCCAGATATTTCTTGCTTATGAATCATACACCGTTTAATTCGCCCGGAAACGGATAGAACGGAGAGAAATGAACTAGCCACCGAGGAAAAAACTTTATCAATTACGCAGGTATCGTTTAACCCTTTCGCCACCGTCAGCGTCATCGCGTAGAACCCAGCGTGGTGTCAAAGGTGGAACTATTACGCGTGTATCAAGAGAAAGGTGATTGAAGTCAAATAATTCTTGATGATAATGAAGTATCGAGTTTGAACGTTCGTTCAACTAACGAGGAGAGTGCAAATCCTTCGAGTCATTGATTTCCTTTTTGATTGATCATTCGGGACCATCCTATGTAGGTTTGCAGATTTAGTCATCCAGTGCAAGAAAATGTACCATTATAAGTATGTACCATTAATGTACCAACTACATACTAACTACCGTTTTTGAGATATTTATGATTGAAGGTTTATTATTCTTAACTAGAAATTTCTTCCAAGTGGCATTGCGGCCTAACAGCAACATCTGAAAATTGCCAACAGTATGAGAATTTTCGGATATCGCCATTAGGCTACAACGGCACTTGATAAATATTCGAAATAAGTCTGTAATTAAGGCAATAGTCAATCTCTAATCATAAATGTCTCGAAAATTATTGAGTAGTTACCCTTGAACTGACCGTGACTAAATTTACAAACCTGCAAGGTTTCAAGTAAATCTATGACTCAAAGGACTTGCACTCTCCTTGTAAATCAATCAGTCGAATGATACAGAGTGTTCGTACCTATTGAACCATAGTATCAATAAGTAGTCTTTACAAGTAGCACAATTATAATGTACCGTAGTTATGTATATAGAAGGAATTATGGCAAAGAGAAAAAGGAAAGAAACTATATTCTGCTCGTTTGAACTGAAAGAATATATACTTTGTATAAATTGATATGGTGGCGAGGCCTGGCAAGGAACTAAATTGTCGCGTTATAAGATCGCTGAAACAGAGAAAGATGAAAACAAATACCGGTGCTGGTTACACACTCATCGCTGTTGCACCTCGACAATATAATTCGCGAGTAAAGGTTGAACAAAATGTAGAATTTGTATGGTTCGAAGGAATGCTTAATACTGTTTTATTCTCTAGTTCGTTCGTCTTTCATGCATAAGATTTTGGGGGTGTGGTTCCAGAGAGTGAAGAAGAATGTTTATAATTATCGGAGAAAAGCTAGTTCTCTTTAAAGCGATACATATGATTTTGACATTGGCGTCGGAAATCGAGGTAGGGTATGTATGAGGAGAAATAGCTTTAAGATAAGATATCTAATTTTGGATATAGAGCAAAATAACTGTGCAAGATATTGATAATTTTCGGATAGGAGGAGTTAGGTTTGACATTAGGACTCTTGGTACTATTCACTTGTGCGCAGTTTTTAAAGAGCAGAAAAATGAAAATAAAGAGAAAAACCATAATCATCGCAATAGCGCTTGCAATTCTTTTCTAAGAGAGCTAGGCGGAACGATATCACTTGTGT